CACAGTCGCCTGGCTGGTCATGGCCTCGATGTGGTGGGGCATCGCCTACCTGCGAGGTGACTTGCACCGGGCACATGATGACACCTACAGTCCGTGTGTTGCCAACGTGTACAACTTTCCCTCCGCCTTCCTCTTCTTCATAGAGACTGAGGCCACCATTGGCTACGGGCACCGCTACATTACTGAGCGCTGCCCCGAGGGCATTGTGCTCTTCCTCTTCCAGTCACTGCTGGGCTCCATTGTTGATGCGTTCCTCATTGGCTGCATGTTCATCAAGATGTCCCAGCCCAAGAAGCGAGCTGAGACCCTCATGTTCAGCCATGCCGCAGTCGTCTCGCAGCGGGATGGCAAGCTGTGCCTCATGTTCCGTGTCGGCAACCTCCGCAACAGCCACATGGTGTCTGCCCAGATCCGCTGCAAGCTGATCAAGGTGAGGCCTGGCGTGACAGTGGGTGGGGTGGGGCCCCTCAATCATAGTGGGTGACACAGGCAGGGCGTGGGCCAAGTGTAACCACATGCCCACAGTGCAGGTAGCATGGGGCTTCCCCTGTGCAGCCCTTGCTGCTGCCTGCTCGTGGGCTCTGCCCTGCTCCAGGGGCAGCTGCCCTGTCCCTTGGCTTGTGGGTGAGAGGACATGGCCGGGGTGGTATGAAGGGCTTCGGAAAAATTTGCCGTGGCTGCCCATAGTTGGAGCCATGAAAGAGCCAAGCAGGCATAGGGGAAAAGACAGTCTCATCAGAGACCTCCCAGGGGTATTATGAGTGGATTGTGAGGCTGGCAGGAAGCCAATTCTGTCAGGCAGAATGGATGTGTCAGGATACAGTGTAGCTGCAGGGAGGGATAATAAGACATGCCCTTTAGCAATTGGTGGCTGGGAGTAAGAAATGGATTTGTGGTGACATTAAATCTCTTTTGTGATGACATTAAATTAGGACAAAGATCAACCTCCTCTTCCCCATGGAGAAACTTGGAGAGCTTTAACTTGCGGTTCCTTACCCCATGGTGCCAGCCAGTGGCCTCCCAGCATTTCAGACAGATTGTGGAGGTGCTTTAGTGGAAAGGCCCTTTAGTTGTCAGCAATAGCTACTTATTAATAACTGACGATGGTCAGGGTAATTCAGAATGCAAGAAAACTGGAATTCAAAGGGGATTAACCAAAAAAAAAATAAAATATCGTCGGGAGACAGTAGAGTTTGGCAGGCCCAGAAGTCCAGGAGATACATCGGTCAGAAGTAGAATGGAAGGAAAACACGGCATGCAGCATGCTGAGATGAAGCAACATAGCAGCTCATAGCAGCTACGTCTTGTCGCGGGAGCACGCTAGATGGGGAGCATCAGAACCTGGATCCCAGTGATGACATTAATTTCAGAATATCATATTTGAATGTCCTAAGTGTTCTGTGTTCTCTATGGTAATCCTCTCTTTGGAGGAACTGTTTGGCCTTTTAAATAATCTGCAAAAACAAGCATGATACAGTAGGTGATGGGACAATGGTAAATGCAAAAGGCTGTTTTCTTTCTGTTTTGTGCAGAACGCTTGACTGAGCTGTTAATTTTCTTGCCGCAGAATGCCATTTAAAATGGAGAATCTGCTAAGATTCAAGAAGAGGTTTGAGAGATATATATATATATGGGAACAAGCTGTCAGGAGTTACAATGGAGCAATTTTTGTAGGAACTGGAAAGCCAGCTAAACCATGACATTAAAAATTAGCAGAAAGCCTCCTCTAAAGCATTTAATTTTGTCCGTCATCCAAGACAGAATGCAAGTCAAAGTGGAATAAAAGCGGTGTCACAGTTGTGTTTTTACAGTGATAGTAATTCACTATAAACTTCTTTTGAAATAAGACACTGAACACACAACCTGGTGTGCTTTCTACTGATAACTCTATTGCTACACAATGCTGGCATGCAGATGATTGGGACAGAAAACACAAGGACATTTGATCGACCTGCTTGACCAATTTGTCTTACGATAGCTGTTTCATAGACTAGATGATGAATCAGTTAGTAATGCTTGATTTCTTTTGAATGATCATCATGCCCATGACTTATCTTCAGGCTGCTTTGCGACCTTTGGCAAATATAAGCTACATACACAGGAAAGTTTAGAAGCGAATGTTTGTGTACTAGCTGCCCCCTCACTCCTCATTACAAGGCATAGTATTAGTTCCCATGTCTTTCTGTAAATCCTCAGTTCGTTGAGGTGCCCCTTGAACTGGACACACAGTTCCAGCAGTCATAGCAGCCATTCTGGCAGCATGTGAATTTACAGCAGCTGCTTTGAAGTAGCTTTGTGTGTCCTGCAAAATCACGGTGAACATGCTGGAACTGGCTTACCGGTCATATGTAGCAAGGTCTGCCTTTTTGTGATTTGTGCTCTTTCCGCTGTGCTTCGTGCAGTGCTGTTGACAGGTGATCTTGCTACACTTCTGCACCCGATGAGATGGCTAGAATTTTTTTTTACTTGTATCATAGTGAAAGAATGTTAAGAAATACGTCTTATCACACTTTTGTACTTGAGATAAGAGACATATTTAGTAGCGAACGTAGTGTTTCGGTTGGACCAACGGAGCCCCGAGGATTTAACTTTGTAAAGAAAGTACACCAATCTTAAGTCTGTCTGAATGGCATTTACTGGAAGTGTGATATATGCCCTAGGATATTTGGCAGATTACAGTGGTGTCACCACACTGTGCTGGCTTTTTTTTTGGTCTAGGGCAATACCCAACAGCATGGTGTAGTGATATGATGGAAAAGTCTGAGGCCCTTTTTGGACTGAGTTGCGGAGAGTTTGGAAAACAGAGTTACAAGACTAAGTGCGCGTGTTTCAGAAAAAAACTTTTCCAGAAACCTGAGTCTTTCTAATTTACATTGAATGCTCTAGAAGCAGGAAGAAACAAACTCCTGGGGCAAGAAATAGAAAGAAACTGTTTGGAACTAGCTGCTGAAAATGTGCAGTTCTAGGTCCTGGCCTTCTCAGTGTCACAATGAACTGTATTTTTCTGCCTGTTAATTCCTGGACCTCACTAGTGTGCCTCAGTGATCTGGTGACAGCAGCAGCAACCAGCATCCACCGTATAGTGATCAGTATTGATTTTAAAAAAATTAGTTACGATGCCTATTTTTACCTTCTCTTGATGGGACTACAGATGTCACTGGTAAAACATGATAGTGTTGGTGTGTAAAGTGGTCTGTAAAGTGTTTCAGCTAGTAGTGTAGGACATTTTAATTCAGAAAGCCGAGGAATGTAAAATCATTGTAGCCTGTTTTCAACATGTGCTAAGCAATAGTTTTAAAAATACAGTTGTGCAGCAGAGTAGTCATAGAGCCAGTGTGCTTTGTGTTATGACTGGCAGGCACCTATTCTTTGAGCTGTACTAATTAACAGCTTTGAGTAAGCTGAAAGCAAACAAAATTGTGACAGAAGGTTTGCAAGTGGCAGATGACAGGCATTGCAAATAAGTAAAAAGACCCATTATATTGTGATCTTAATAATTTGGTAAGCAGGGCACGTGTAGAAAGTGCAAATGATATGTTTTTTAATACCCCAGAATCATTCAGATTGGAAGGGACCTTGTGAGGTCTCTAGACCAACCTCCTGCTCAAAGCGTGGTGAGCTTTGAGGTCAGACTAGGTTGCTCTGTGCTGTTTCCAGTCTGGTTTTGAAACCTCTAAGGACAAAGATTGCACAGCCTTGTTGGGCAAGCTCTTCCACTGCTTAACTGTCCTTATGATGGAAAAGTTTTTCTTCAATTCAGTCTGAACTTCTTTTGTGTCAACTTATGCCTGTTGTCTCTCTTGCTCCAGCTATGCGCTGCTGTGAAGAGCCTGGCTCCATTTTCTCGATCACCTTCCTCTTAAGGTTTTTGGAAGGTTGCTGTTAGATCCCCCTCTATGCCTTCTCTTCTCCAGTCTGAACAAGCCCAGCTCACTCAGGTCCTATTTACAGCTTGGCGCAACTAGACTATATTAAAAAGTAGCAGTCATAGTGTATTATCTAAGCTAGAGCTCCAGGTATAGTGTTGCTACGAAAAAACCCATACGATTCTTTAACAGAGGCATCAAAGTAACGACTTCATATTATTTTAGTAATGTAATATATAAAAAATGTTCTTGCAAACTGCTAGCCTAAGGATGGGGCAGAAGTGCAGATGGGTGAGGTCAGGATTTTTCCTCTCAAATACCAGAACTGAAAATACTGTATTGCTGTACGGCAAATCAGCACATACCAGTTTAGCGTTTTCTAGATTCCTGCGTTTCTCTACAATGTACAGCAATATTAAGCTCGATGGTCATCTGTCTTGCGCATCCCGTGTTTTCTATTCCAACGGTTAATTAGTCCACCTGCGTATCAAAACATAATTATGTGAGTTCTCTAAAAGAGCGAACTGAGAGAGGGTTAATAATAATAAAACTGCGTTGTGTCCAGTTAAAGAAGGACGTGCATAAACAACAAGGTTTAGAAAAGCGTTGAGAATGAATTAAGGATAGGAGTGAAGACTCGAAGGGCGTAAAATGTTTGGTCAGACACAAAACCAGACTAAGTGATGTTGCAATGGAAGTCTGCCTAGTAATAAGAAATGAAATGAAGCTCCACTGGCAGAACGGTAAAGGTGGAAAAATCCGGACACAGGAGTAGTTTTTTTTTTTCTTAGCTGTGAGGCAATTAACCTTCGAAGAAACTCATCTAGACTTTTTGATTCTCCATCTCTGGCCACGTTTAAAATGAAAGCTGGGGCATTTCTAAGTAATTATGCACTTGTCCAAGCATGTATTAATCTGCAGAATTTATTTAGCTTTGTGTTACGCGGGTGGTCGAAATAAAGAATCACAAGTGTTCCTTCCGTACTTATTGCTGACAGTTTATAATCCTCTGCCCTGTTTTGTGATCCTTTGAGTAAAGCTATATATATGAAACAAAGGTCACTGGCTAGGAGTCTTAACATATTAGGGCTATTAAGCTATCTTCATTCAGGTTAATTTCTTTTTAACAAATAAATTTCTTTTAAAAATCCTCCATGCTCTGCATAATTAGTCCTGTATGTAAGATGCCGAATACCTCAAACACAGCGTTTTGCTTTCTCCCAGATCTGTTACCTCTAATCATCCTTGCTGCATTTGTTTACTATTGAGTGGATTTGATTGAAGACTCTTCCACAGAGAAAAATGGTTTGTAGATGAAAAAGTTCTTGAGTCATTCAGGCAGCGGTTTGTGTACATCTTTGTCTAGGTAACCGTATTTGATAAAACTTCGGGAAAATTTGAGTTTTAGATACAGCTCATACAGCTTGGAGCAAAGATCATGTGTTGCCAAACACTTTGTGCATCCGCTGAAAGAACAGTAGCCAGGCAACAAAAGCAGTAGCGCAGTCTGCAGCTTAGTTCTGCAGGTTTCCTCAGGAAAAGAGAAAGGATGTTTTTGCAGTAGTTTGATTACACCTTTGCATATAACAGAGACTGTCACGATTGCTGTGTAGTAGTGGCTTTGATCGCTTTTATTTCATAGCACTGTCTTTTACCTTTCAAAGCACAAATAATCCATGAGAAAGCTTTTACAAGCAAGCAGCTGATATTTTCCCTGTCCTCATCAGTAGTGGAGAAACTGACTGTTGTGTAAGGGAGAACTTGGTTATTTAGATAGGAAGATTTATTTTTTTTTCTTCCTCAGCAGAACAACAGACACATAGCACACAAAGGAAATAATGCATTGTATTTAGCAAGCAGCTGTAAGGAGCTGTACTCTACCAGCTACCTAACTGGTTATGTAATCACCAATAGATACCAGGCAGTTAAGAATTCAGCATTTTTAAGATACAGGTGAAGCAGAGAGACAATCTAAAGGTACACTAGTTGCCTAGGGATTTTTTTTACGGACAGAAGCTTTCTTAAAATAATACCAGTCAGATCTAAGTCAACAGCAAAACTGCTAGTTTCGGCTTGTTCTCCGGACTAATGGATGGAGTTTCCAAGCAATGGAACCAATACATTTGTCAATGCCAATGCAACACAGTTAAAACTATTTAGTAACTGCAGAAGAATCTATCATTTATAATCAAGAGTTGGCTTCTTAAAGAGTTAAGTGCTTTCTAATCAAGTAATAAGCAGAAAGGATTTTAAATAGGATTTTGAATAGGCTCTGCAAAGCTTCTAATTTTAATGGGCAATTTCTATCAGAGACCTTTAAAGCAATCAGCTGAGGAACTGCCTGGCCAACTGATGTAATTTTTAGTTATACTTTGAATGCCAGGGAGATTTTGGGGGAACACTATGAGGCAGGAGGAAGCCATCATATCGGTATTTTTATTGGACTTGTGAAATGACGTGAATAAAAATGGGGCACTTACCTTAATAATGATCGTAAGTTCATTATGGAGATCAACATACAGTAGACGGTACATGCAAATTGGCAAGGGATAATAGCATTGTTAATACCGATTCAGACGGTTTTGTGGAAATGTCACTTACCAGACGTACTGTACAATTCGTATGACGCTTACCTTTGAGTTAGTACATCAGAACGTCTGCCAAAAATAAAAATAACAAAACATGAATTCGGGAAATGGATTTAAATGTTCTGGCTTGTAGATTTTGTTCTCATTAACGGGAACTTTTGCCACAGTGTGTCCATGGCAAACATCCATTATAAGGTGTGTAGTGTGGTACCCGACATTTTTGTCAAAATATACATATATATCATAGTAACGTTTGTAGATGATGATGAGATCTAGTGCCATGATAAGAAAAGTCATAATTGGTCATATATAGTAGCGTTACAGTATTTAGCATTACTTATACCTCCAATATGAAGACCCCAGACCTAATATGTAGATGGTAATGTCATGAAAAAGGCAGATTTAAACTTCATTGTATTGATTTCATGTTTTGTGTCACACGGCGATTACTATATCATCTTTTCATTTTTAGTCCCGACAGACACCAGAGGGAGAATTTCTGCCGCTAGACCAGTGTGAACTGGATGTTGGATTTGGAACTGGAGCTGACCAGCTGTTTTTAGTTTCCCCATTAACGATCTGTCATGAAATTACCTCAAAGAGCCCCTTTTTTTGTCTCTCACAAAGATCACTAAGAAGCGAGCAATTTGAAATAGTTGTCATCCTTGAAGGAATCGTTGAGACTACCGGTAAGATTTAAAATAATATGCGTACTCTAATTTTTACTCTTTGTGTTCAGTCCTAATATTTTTAGCAAGGCAGCTGTTAATCCTTTCAGGATTATAATCCTGGATGCTGCGGAATATCCTGCCATATGCTACAGACTTCAGTGGCCTTTACCAGCCAACAGGAGACTTCCCTTCCCCAGTGGGCTCTGCATTACTGATGCCCAGAGTGGCCAGTGTGTCCACGAAGAGGTGCACCCTGCCACTCAGAGAATGGCATGTAGAGGAGTACAACACCGTTTTGAGACTCCTGTTTTAAGGACCGCCGTTCTGAAAGAACATTGAACTTTAAAAGTTGCCTGTGCTGCAAAATCACTTTCAGCCTAGCTTGTGTTAAATTGAATGCAAAATGACAAATCCAGTTTTACAGTACAAATACAGACCACGTAGTTGCAAAGATTGTAGGAACACATGGTTATTGGCAAAGAAGAGCAGGGCTTTTGTTTTTTTTTAACTCTTTTTTTTTTTAAAAAAAATTCTGATATGTATTGTCCAGATGACAGCTGACTTTCTGACCTTGTCTTTGGAGGACTTAATTCTTTTATGAATCCTGTGACAATGCGCTGTGGTTACGTAAGAAGCTCTGTGTTGAGGATCCATGCATACTGTTAAAGTCCAAATCATTCAGTAGGTTCATTGATATTCTGATCTTCCTCTCCCTTCTTTTGAGGATTTGTTAAACTTTGATTAATCAAGGAGCATTTTCATCCTTCTTTCAACAAGACTACCGGTTGCCCAGTTCCTGCCTTAGATCCGCACCTTCCTTGGTGCAGCCAAATGCAATCATCTCATGCTGGACAGGAAACAGAACTGACCGATCACTAAACAAACACACAATCCACCAGAGCAGAAGAGTCTTTCACGTTGAGTGCGGCAGTCTTTAGATCTCCACAGAAGCTTCTTCTCATCCCGCAACTGGACAATGTATCTTAGATAAGCACGCATTCATAACCACACTTAATGCAATTACCTTACCGGCTATCACAATGGAAACATTTTACACTTGTCTGAGAATTAATGTAGTGGTAACCTGAGAGCAAATCAGAGTTTGGGCTTACTGACTGCTAATTCTGCCTCTGAAGAGTACCGTGAGAGGAAGTCCTAAAGTTCTACTTACCTGGGATATTTGTATTATTTATCATCAGCAGCATTGTGCTGAAATTATAACAGATTTGTTGGCTTGGTTAAAACACATTTTAGCTGTCAATTCACACATGTAAATACTGCCAATGATGTATGTTTGCACTAAATGGAACAAATTCTTCTACGAGCTTTACAGTGGTACCTGTGTCTTGGCATGGAAGACAGCTGCAGGGTCTCTGCACAGCTTTTGTCTTGACATATTATTTGGAGAAAACATAATGTAGCCTATAGAAGGAATGGAAGATTAAATTTTTCTTTTAGTTTTGGCTTCCCCCAATCTGGCCCAATCTTTGCCAGAGAATTCTGTAAGCCTCTGCCAAGCAACGGTTCTTTCTCCCAAGGTGGCTTCCAAGAAATGGTATTACATACAAACTATAAGGTTGTTGTTGCTAGCAGGCTAGTACTGTCTTAATTTTATGTTTTGCTTTTATCAAAAGTGGTTTGCTCAGTGTGAGTCTGCAATATTTAATCTGATATTTGTGTAAAAATCTAGTTAATTAATTAGAGGCACTCCGTTGACTGTCAGGAGATTGACTAGGAACAATCACTCTACTTTATAGTCTATAAATTTATTAGCTTACAGGCTATGATTGATTTTTATCCATCAGCCTTACCTTGTATTTTTCGTTCCATATACTGGTCTACTTGCTCACATTAGAATGTCATGCTCTTGTCTCTGTTTCTGTAGGAATGACGTGTCAAGCTAGGACCTCATACACAGAAGATGAAGTTCTTTGGGGTCACAGATTCCTCCCAGTAATGTCCCTAGAAGATGGCTTTTTCCGTGTCGATTATTCTCAGTTTCATGCTACATTTGAAGTCCCCACTCCTCCTTACAGTGTTAAAGAGCAAGAGGAAAACCTGTCCCTATCATCTGCTTTGAATAGTCCTGTCGATAGTAACAAAACCAGAAGAGAACAGGTTTGTTCACTTGACTGTATTGATATTGCAGGAGAGAAAAACAAGCGCCCTTTCAAACTTCAGAGGATTAGCTCGAGAAAGGAAGACCTTCCCAGAAGAGCCCTGAGAATGAGTTCCAGTAACACAAAGAAGACTTGCAGTACCGGCGATCTCTTGAAAATTCAAGAAATAAGTCCCATCTCTGACGATGAAGACAGGGATGACAGGATTCAAGTGAAAGCCTTAAAAATAAATGCTGAGGCTTTGACTTGGTCTACCAATGATCTCGAGTTGCAGAAGAACCCTCCAAGTATGTGCGCTCTAGAGATGAAATTGGAAGATAATTTTCCTGCCAAACTCAGAAAAATGAACTCTGATCATCTCTCTTAAGAGCAGAAGCAACAGGAGTTCTTGCTGATAAACTGCTTTTGAGACTGCCAGCCTGAAAGAGTTGTCTTACAGTAAAGTCATAATTTGGTTTTGCCACTTTCAGGAAGAACAGTCCTTTTTGTGTAATTGTCCTGTACAGATCCAACTTAGGTAGCATAATAGGACTTTGAGGGGCAGTAAGGTTAGACTGTTGTGCCAGAGACATTGCTGCCCTAATGATGTTTATTGGCATGCTTGTTGCAAGTCTACATTGTCTTCCATATACGCAGATGCTTTTTCACAAAACAAGGACCAAATCCTTAGTTGCGGAGTGAAATGTTCAGAGTCCAAGCCAAAAAGGGTGTAAAACCAGCTGAAACACAATATTGTGCAGCTCAGCTCTTGGACCGTTGCTGATGTATAGAACAGCAGAACACAGGAAGAATCTGTGATGCTGCTCGGTCGTAGTCCATTTCTCTCTTAGTGACCCCATTGGAGGGTGGCCTTCCTGTGCAGCCTGGTGGTGTGCATCCTTCTTTCTCATTGATTGTGGCATGCCAGTTCCGTGCCCCTAGAATCTCGTTCATTGTCACTCAGGTAAAGGAAGTGGTTTGCGGTAGCCACATGTGTCGTTTGATTCATACGAGCTCGCATAAACACAGGGATCATTTATCCTGTCCAAAATTAGACCCCAGCATTCAATCGGGTGGATCACATTTTGAATTTTAACAACCGTATCGCCACTCACTGTGAGGGGAACTTGAGGTTGGTAGCTCAACCTAATGGTATGTCTTGTACCTCAACTTCATGAAATTTTAGTTTGAAGACTCCTCGTAAGTAAATAAAAGCAAAGTGCTAGATAATGCTCAGTCATTACAGAAATGGACAATAGTATGTACACATCTCAGAGTTTTACTACTGAATAGTAGGGTCTTTGATGTTGCTCTTTTGTTACATTTGCCTTCTCCATTTATGTATGATTCTCAGTAATTTTGTAGATTTGACATTTATAATATTATGCAACTTATTGCAGGATAGATTCTGTTTTAACATAATTGTATTAAGATATTGAAAGAAAGGGCAGCACAGGTCTGTAACATAGGTGTGCAGCTGAGAGAGGGCTTTGATGTTTTTGAGCGTAATGGAGCATTCTCTCAAAGTGCTTCTGCTAATAATGGTGATTACTTTCAATTGTTGAATGAATATTTTAGAAGATCATACCCGGAATATGGCAAGCTTCTCTGTAGAAATGACCAAAAAGATGTCAGTGAAGATTTACACAGAGGTGTTGGTATTTTGGTATTCAGTATCTCTTCGAAGTGTCATACAGCTTTTTCTAAGTGACTGGCCTTTGAACAAGAGGGAAAAATGCCCTTCTGGTTTTAAAACAAATCTTACGTAACTGAAATTCCTGTTTGCCTTACTGATCATGAGGAAATGGTGAGAACTAGACTTTGACTTTCTTAGATTTCCTGGGGTTCTACAACTCAGAGTAGCCGCATTACTATTTAGCTATTCTGCTGTGCATCTCAGTCTGTGAAAGAGGTCTTTTTTTTTTTCAGGTTGGTAGTGAGCAAGCATAATCAGAACTTGCTGTTTTGTAAAATGGGATGTTCAGTAACTCAGCATATAGGGTGCTTATCACTAGCAGAGCACTCCCCCAACAGAAGGATCAAATTCTGCTCTTGTTACGTGGACAGAATTCTGTCAAATTTGAAAGGGGTTGTTGGGGCCATATCAATTGGCAATGACTGGATGGAAAGGTGAAGTGATATATCCAGGGATGGCTTGGCTTGCATAAATTGCTCTTTCTTGCTTTTGGTCTCCTACCTACGGTGTGAAACTGGAAAATGGTATTTTAACACAGGGATAGGATTTGCTTGTTGTTTTCAACGTGAATTTCAACATTATATATGTGCTGAAATCGTATTCTTGTTTATTAAATGTATTAGTGTGGGATATTTAGATGACAGCGTGAAGTCTTGATGGATGATGAGTCTCCCCACTCTTCAGAACAGCCAAAATTAGTGTAAAATAAAATTACATCCACGTTGGTTCTCAAGCATTCTTGTGAGTCAGTCAGCTCAGAGTGCATTTCTAATAGACACAGAAACAATGAGCGAAAGTACCCTGTATCTGCTTTTCCAAATAGTTACATGAAAGGCTATTCCATACGTTACGCAACTGTCAGACATGTAAGGCAGTAGTGTTCTGTACTGTGCATTCTGGAAGATGGTCCTACACTATTTTCAGTTTTCCCAGTTCTGGGCTGCACCTATAGCTGCAGAGTAGATTTAGGTGTGGCCTTCCTGTGTAGACCAGTGTCAGCGCTAAGCAGAATCTTCACGCCCTAAATATATTATATGAGAGCTTGCAAGCCATATGGTGGTTTTATGCAATGCCTGCTGTGACGAAAATAATTGTTGAAGTACTTCTGGGAACCCTATGGCAACTCTCTTCCTATTGCGTGAAGCAGAAAGATGTCTTCCTGAGACCAAGGGCTCCCGCACACATCTCTCATAACACTATTACTCCTCGAGGACTATTTGCTCTGAAAGAGAGTAAGGATGAAGGAGTAGGAGAGCAAACTCTTACAAGCAAAATGACCCAACAGGGTGCCAGAGAGAGAGGAGGGCAAGGAGGAAGAACGTAGCCAGCTTTGCGTGGCTGCGGGACACCAAGGGGCCTCTAGCGACTGCAGCAGAGCCGTGTGTGACTGCGGGGTCACTGGTGCTGCCACCAGGAGGCTGGGTCAGGGGGATGGATCAGGCCCTGAACTGGAAACCAGGTGGGAGCGAACCATCCCCCGGCTCTGGAATCATGCAGGATGGACCCAGCAGGAGCAGGGAGTGGTGTGTGCCCTTGCTTTCTCAGTGGGCAGCCCAACTCTGAGCCCACTCTGTTGCTACAAATGCAACCCTGCAGCTGGGGGCTCCGGTGGAATGCGCTGCGCCGGCACAGCAAGTGTTGGGGGATGCCTACCGTCAAGGACAGCCAGCTCAGACACTCACGTGCACTTCTGCCGCCCGGCAGCTGCCACCTGATGTTTGGTGCTGGGCGATGCAGGCGGTCAAGATCACAACAAAAACTTTCCCCTGCGCCACCCAGCATTCAGTTCTGTGCTGATCTGAGGTCTCGGTTTGACATGGTGCAGGCATGACACACCGTGCCAGACCGGTGAGGTGGTGGGGAGCCAAGAGGTGTGAAATGTGCTTTCAGGCTGCTAGTCTAAGGGTGAGGCAGAAGCACAGATAGGTGTGATCAGGGTTTTTCCTCTCAAATACCAGAAATTAATTCCATCCCTGAAGGAAAAAGCTTGAGGGAGGCTGATGGCCACTTGCTGACTTGCCACATCAAGGGCAATGGCAGGAGCTGACCCTTCCCCTTCAGAGTGATGAACGCCAGTCCAGTAGCAACTGTTCAGGTTTTACAGAAGGGAAAAGCATAATGGCACCAAGCCCTGTGGAAGTCTCAGTCCCATGTGTTGTTTGTGTATAATAATTAATAAACAATTGGTTTACTCCTTGTACTCATGGCTGTGGCTCCTGCAGTCCCTTTGACTCAGTAAGCACCTGTGACAGTGCCCGAGGGAAGGAGCTTACCTATTGTAACTGAGGGGTGGGAGCTGGTCCCAAGATTTCTTGGACCCCTTTGTGGTCACTGGGCGTTCCCAGGCAGCCCCAGTGCTGTTCACAGGGCTGCGGGGGATTTCCCTTGCATTGCCAAGGACACTCGGGGCTGTTGGTAGCATTTGCCATCATCCAGGGGCCAGCCAGGGCCCCTCCAGGGCTGCATGAAGTCCCCAAGCTGCTCCTGGTTGCTGTCAGCACCCCGAGGTGCCTTGGGTATGTCTTGCGTCAAGAGCAGGCGTCAGTGCGAGCGGTGGGGTCGCACTGGGTCTGGTGATGGCTGCAGGCCACTTCCCATCAAGCACACTGAGCTCCATAGCATGCCATATGGCCCTTTTGGTGTGCACCGAGGCCCTTTATTTGTATTTGGGTATTTCCCGGAGCCCTCTGAACTCCTGAATTTGTATATCAGTTTGCCCCGAAGTCCTTCTGTGCAGCCCAAGGACCTATGTTTGCATTGCAGCATGCCACAATGTCTCCTGTTTAGCTTTCTCACATCCCAGAGTTTTCTCAGTGCTTTTCTAGTGTGCTGTAGAGTCATCTGTTTTCCTTTCTGTGTGGCCCAGCTTCCCCCCACCTTTGCTTTTTCTGTGCCCTCAGAGTCCTATGTTTTCCATCTCACCTGCTAATGTTTTCTTTTTTTTTTCCCCTCATTGCACCCCAGAGTTCTCCCTTTGTTCATTTTCCTTTGTGTGCACCCCAGAACCCTTTAGCTTGTGGCTAAAGCTTGTGGTCCAGCAGCCACAGCTGTCCTCGATAGGGCTAATAGCAATGGCCCCTGTTCTTTATGGGCTGCAGCTGTGGGCCAAGGGCCTGCGCTAGAGGATGAGAAGTGTCAGGTGTGCCCTGTGGGGCCGATAGCAACGGCCTCTCTGCATCTGACAGGGACAGAGGCTCTTGGCCTGGGTTGCTGCCATGGGTGCAGGGCTCACATTGCTGCACCTGGGCCTATCCAGGACAACAGAAGCATTGCATGCTGGGACTGTTACTGCAGAACAGGTGAATGGGGCCGGTGTGGGGTGTCCCTGCAACCAGGAATGTGACAGAAATGCAGGAAAGAGGCGGCGGGGGCGCTCACTGAGAGCCAGGGAAAACCACGTTAGGGCCAAAGAAGGCAGGGGGCGGTGCCGGGGTCGTGGGTGGCTCTGGGCTGGAGGGGTAGTTGCATGTAGACATGTGGGGCTGCCCGAGAACTGGAGCTCACTCTGGGGTCAGAGTAGGGCTGCGGGACGAGCAACGTCAGCTCAGGGCCGTGCTAAAGCGGAGTCCCGGGGAAAGCCCTGACAAGGGGCAGGGGGGGCAGCGCAGGCCGGGGCACGGCATGGGTGGTGTCGGAGAGGTGCGGCGCGACAGGGGGAGCATCGGACCTGAACCGCAGCCAGTAGCAGTGCT